GCCCCGAAACGTTAACTGCATTTAGATACTGGTTCCCAGTGTTCTTCTGGCTTCATATTTGCATATCAGTGGCAAATTTTAGGACACTCCAATGTGGTCGTTTTCCTTTTTCTCAACCAGAGTATATTTTGGGTGGCATTTAATGCACAAATATACCTATTAGGTGTGTATTTAATTTGTTTCGGCGTATTGTTTTGCAGGTCTTATAAGTTGTATTTGCTGGGTCCATGAAGGGGGGTCGTAACACGAAATACTTCCTCAGAAAAACTAGTTGGCGCCGAAAAAAGAACAGAATCACAACGCTCAATGATGCCGCCGGCAGTTGGGTGGAGAAGGAGGAGCTCCTCGAAGACATGGCTACAAGTTTCTTCAAGAATCTGTACACTGCTGATCAGGATATTGTTCCGGAACCACTCCTGAACCTGTTCCCGACACCTATTGGATACATGTACCCAAACTGTAATCGGATTTGCCATAGTAAAGAGCTTTTGATTTCACTGGATATTCTTGTTGTATACTACAGTACTATATATGTAGCTTCTGCATCACCAAACTTTCCGAGTATATAGTATGTGTGTGTGATATCTTGATAGAGATTCAGAGCAGCTGATCCCTCTCATCAGCTTTACACAGTGTGGTTCAAGCATCTACTGTATCTACTTATTTTGGACAAGTTTGAACCTCAAATCATTGATGCACTCACAAATTTGAACCATTCATGCAACTCACAATATTGCCCAACACTTCATTCATGCAGCTCACAAGTTTGAACCATTCATGCAACTCACAATATTTGTAATAAGAAAACAAGTTCCAGTTGTAGCAGCAACACATGCAAGCAGGGAACACCAACACAATATTGTGAGGTGTTGTCTGGACACTCCCCCAATCAGCAACAAAATAAGATTTGCCTCGACAAGAAATAGTTAATAAATCAACAATAAAATGGAACCTGTCTTCAACAGAAAAATAATCAGCAGCAGCAGTACTACTACAGGAGAGGAGGGTCAAGGGTTTAGTGTTTCCCCAGATTACATTACACACTATAGAGTTGCTTAACATCAGGTTGTTCCAAATAATCATCAAGCAATGCATACATCAGCTGAGTTACTAGATGCTTGTTGGGAGCTAGAGCTGCATTTCCGACTTGCGGATTAGATGGACCATCATCTTGAGGCTATCGCTGCTCCTGTCTGCCAGTTCGACGAGGCAGATGTCCCCTGCCTTCATCCCGACGTCCAAGACAAAGTCCTTCCAGAGTAAGGAAATCATCCTCCCTTTCGTATACTCCGTGACGGTCAGCGTTGTAGGCCACTGCATCGTGCTACCTTCCAGCCCAATTAGGAGAGGTGTTTGTTTGAGCGGGAGACATGCCAAAGCATATTCCTTGCAGAACAACTGTTCAGAAAAGAGCGTGTGAAGATGGCGATCGAATCTCAGACCGACGATTAATTCAGCAAGAAGATGGCTCTAATTTTGCGAGCTTTCGGATGAGAAATGGACTATACATATTCTGCGTGGTATCTGAATTTATGAACTCACCAGCTTTGTTGGGTTCGATAAATCACGTGCCGTCATCACCTTCACAAATACAGGGAATTCAGATCCTATTGCATGGACTTTCTCCTTTACTTCCTTCTCTTGTTGCCAAGTTAGGTTCTTCCGTTCGGGTAATATGTAGGACTTGTTGGACATAGGAGCTTCTAAACCGGCTTCATTCAACTTGCCAGCGGGGCATCCTGAAAAACATGCCATACTTTCTTGTGGTGAGCATACGATAACGACAAGTAGATCGTCTAAAATATGGTAAATGGAAAGAAACGCACAGGGTAACTAACTACAATACTATGACCTGACTTAATACAAGGGGAGGATGTCAAAGCCATCTCCTGGGCATTTGAGGAGTTTCCCATGGCAAAACAAGTTTTCTCACAACCGCTCGGATCAAGGACAAGAACTTCAAGGCGGGCTTTCCTCTTGCTTCTGAAGACGAGGAGGTCGTTGTCTTGTATGCGGAGAGAAGCTACGAAATCACTCAACTCAGACTGGAGGATTATTTGATCATCACTGTGCTTGCTTACGCCAACACTGTATACCATGTTGTTGCCATGGGCTTCGAGCTGAATGACAGTTTCAGTTATCCCCTCTTTGAAATTGTCCAAAAGCCTCAACGGTATGCACTGCAAGAGCAGAAAAAAAATACAAGCAGAAATTAATAGCCTATGGATCGGAGTGACAAACGCAACGAGGAAATTATCTGAGGAAGGATGCAACTTACAACATAGTAGTCCTTGCTGGCATTTCTTTTGTTCATAGGTGCCACATGCAGAGGAATTTCAGACCTCATGCTGCTATCAGCTAGCTCTAGCACTTTCTTCTCTTGCGCTTTGCTTAGGCAGGTCCCGGGGAACATGGTATAGCCAAAGTCGGTTGATGTCTGAACATGTGCAGGATCAGGCACCACTTGTTCTGCATATCAAGAAAGAACACTGTTATATTGATCAGAAAAGCATTACCAAAAGCACCCGACTTGAAGGTCCTATTCACTTTACCATTCAGCACATCAAGAAAGAACACTGTTATATTGATCAGAAAAGCATTACCAAAAGCACCCGACTTGAAGGTCCTATTCACTTTACCATTCAGCACATGACGATCACGAAGCAGAACAGCTCTAAGGATGTTGGGAGGCTGTTGAGAACAGGGCAGAGAATTCTTGTGACCGGATGAAGTGCATATGTGGACCTTGAACGTGGAGCTCCCACAGTAAACGAACAAGATGGGGTCACCTTGTTGTATGTGATTAGCATCCACAAAGCGCCGCCACCCAGTCGTAAGAGTTATCAGGCCGAACTTGACGAACTCAACACTGTACATCTGGCCATCAGGAGCTTCAAGTTTGATAGGCTCGGAGTCGGTGATCATATTTCTCAGCTGCCTTGTGACCTCCCACGGTGTGCACTGTCAGAAAGATCCACTTTGGTTAGAGTCAGATATAGGTTTCAGCGTTCGTGGGCATTGAGTTTCACACCATTTGCAGAAAATGCAGACACAATTCAGATTGCTTGCACTAGCAGAGGATATGGAGAGCAAACAAAACGAAGTTTTTGGTGAACATTAATAAATAGCTGGCTCAGGGTATTGGTATGCGGTGCATCGGCAGTGTACATTACTAGTAGTAACTATCTCTATCTCCATAAGGGCTAGTAGCTTCACTTGCACTATCAATGATTAGTTTGACACAAAAGTACAGTGTACAGTACAGAGTGTTTGTTTTCCTGCTACCTCTTAATAGTGTTGTGAGTCAGTTCTTCCAAAACTAAATATCCTGAAACGATTCTATCATGAATACGCCATCTGTTCCAGCACACAACATAGCTAAGAACAATACTAAACATTGTTTTTCAGTGAAATTTGAACGCCCCAAAATAATCCTGAAAATGGTAGATGGCGTATTGGAAGGGAAGCATTCTTTTCACTTGCAAATAAACAAACACATACAGTACAGACTTGTTCCTGCCACCTCCTGGTACATTACATGCATATGTTGTGAATCAAATTTTCCCCCAAGGCAAAATGTCATGTTCTATCCATTCCCTCAAGGCAGATTTTACAGCAACATTTTAAGCCAAGGATGAAATTGGGCATTTTTTTTTTCAGCCCCAAAAAACCCTCAAATTGAACCCTTGTGTCTGGAAGGAGGAAATGTAGAGAGGAAACTCTGAATCGATCGACGGGATCAGAGCATAGAGAGAGAGGAGGAGGGGTTCTCACCAGAAAATCTTTGTGGTCGGAGGCGAAGAGGAGGAAGTGCTTGGTGCGGCCGTGGTCGTGCCTCCACTCCTCGCAGTCCCCGCAGTCGCAGCCGTCGCCGGCCGGCCCGCCGCAGCCTAGACATGGATGGGCCCACGGATCCATGTAAGAGAAGGCGGCATTTTTCTCCGGCCGGCCGGCCGGCGGGCATGAAGAAGTACGGAGGGGCAAATCAAATCAAGAAAGAAAGAAAAAGAAAAGAAAGGACGGACGGACGGACGGACGGGGAGTTGGTGGTCAGTCACCTGGGTTGAAGAACTCGTCCGTGTCCATGGGTGGATTGGACAGATCGCCGCCGCCGCCGCCGGCCTCGAGTGCTTCTTCTTTGGTTAATCGTATTGGGGAGGGAAGGGCAGCGCGCAGTGAGCTCCGTCCCAAGCCTGCCCGAAAGGGAAGCTGCGGCCGCTGGCCACCGAGCGCCCGACGCGTGGGCTCGCTCCCCCTCCCCTCTCTCTCCGCCTACTGCTTCTGCTTGGGATGGCGGAGCCTCCTCCCTCTCTCCTCAATTATTTGGTACACCTCTCGACATTACAGCGGTAGATAGATACTCCCTTCTTTTCGATTTATAGAGCTTATTTTAAAATTTTAGTTTTTTCATTTTATAAGGCTTAATTTAGTTGTTTCCCATCAAATGTTCAGATTTCAAAGTGCATCAAATCATTGCATGTAAGTATTAAGAAAAAATGGGTTCGGCTCGGGTGCAGGGGTCACCGCACCTTTTATTGTGCAGGCCCAATCAGTGGCTGCCACGTATGCTTGCAGGCCTAATAATTAATTAATCAATTAATGATTTCATCCTTCAACTAACCCTTTCGTCCTGAACTATTGATGCTCCGTACAGTTTCACGCTCCGTGCAATCTCATGCTCTTTAACGCTCAACGAAACAATTGGTAGCGCACGGTGACGTACTTCGATCAAGACGAACTCCGCCGGCCTTGCACATAGTCACCCCAACCATTCATGGCTACAATGTTGTATTTCTTCGATGGTCATGTGCTCAGGGGCATGCAGCCCATGCAGGCACTCGTGCAGGCTGTTAACTTGGCACACACTCTTTGACGTTATCAATCAAATGGATCATCACTTCATCAGGTTGTTTTCTCGTTGCACCCGACTACAGTCAACCATGGGCAACTTCTGATCATCCGTCGGCAGGATTGTCTTGCAGAGGACAACGAGCGGGTTAGCAAGGACATCCTCGCCGTGATCCTCACACGGTCCTTGATAATGCATTCGCCGTAGTCGATGGGCAATGGAGATTTAGTTGCAACGGAGTTGTACTTAGATGTCCAGCAGAGTAGGGAAGAGAAACAATAAATATCGAATTTATTTTTGTAGAACATCAAACGTCGAACTAGTTGAAGAAAAGCATTAATTAAATTCGGCCTACAAGAACACGTGGCATGCAGCGATTGGGCCTGCACAATAATCGGTGCGATGATCCCTGCACCTGAGCCGAACCCAGAGAAAATTGACCAATGCATGTAATTTATGCATGCATGCATTGCAATTAATGCATTGGTAAACATATTTTTTGAGGAAAACAAGAACATTAATTGAGTGCTTTTGCAAACTACAAAAAATATTCCACCACTCACTATCTACCTTAGTTGGTGAGATTTTTGGATTGAGCCTTATAAACCGGAAAGGAGGAAGTAGGATACACACGCACATGAAAAGTCAAAATGCGTGACACATATAGATACGAAGTTCATTGGCATCCCATCCTTTGGGACTTTGGGTTGCTCCACGATGTGATTACTTCACTTTTTATCTGTCGCTGAAAAACAAACAAGAAATCCAGTTCAATCAAAGTAAATACGGTGGTGATTCCAGCGATTAATCAACTAGTGCAGAGGATCCAATTTTTTTTCGAGAGTACCCCAAAGGCGTACCTTAGCTTTATAGAAGGCAGAAAATATGTACAAAAGAGTATATGTTAGTTGCGGCCCATAACTCAAACCATAACACCACCTCCACTCCTACTCACGCACGCGACTACTCACTAAAGTTAGGTACTCCAGTTGCTCCCGCCTTCTTCCAGAGGCTTAGTTCTTGTAAGATCCAGTCGGTCGTATCCCACTCGTTCCGGATGATCCCACTCGCAAAGACTCTTGCATTGCCTTGCTTCCACAGACACCAACAGATCAGCATTATAATGGTGTTGAATCCTTTTCGATGCACTTTCGGGACACGCTTCCTCGTAGGGCACCACCAAGCCTCCACCGAGCCCTCCTGAGACGGCACCAAAGCTTGGTCAATCTTCAACCTAAGGAAGCATCGTGACCACACTTGTCTAGCAAACGAGCATTGGATCAGCATGTGGTCAATTGTGTCCTCGTCCTGATCACAAAGGAAGCAAGGAGAGGTGTGATCTTGCAATCCGTGTCCCATTCTTCTGTCCGATGTCCAAAGACGGTGCTGCACTGCTAGCCACATAAAAGCTTGCAGGTAAGTGGTGACCAGCACTTCCATATCCCAGCCGAAGCCTCCATTCTCACTCCTCCCTCACAAAACATTTTGTACGCTGAGGCTACCGTGTATGTTCCCTCGGCATTCCAGGGCCAGATGGCCTTGTCCTCCTCGCCTGGGGTTAGGCTGATTTGGATCAGTGCATCCCAGAGACGAACGAATTGTGCGAGGCCCTCGGTGTTGAGCTCTCCCACTACATCATTTGTCCAAGCGTGAAGCTGGAGCCCCTCCTTGGCAGATCTTCTGTTGGCAACTTGGGTTCTGACCATAGCCACTAGATTGGGGGCGATGTCCACTGGTCTGTACCCAAAGATCCATCTATCCGTCCAAAACTTGATGCTTTCTCCGTCTCTTAACTGCCACTTAACCAAGCTTCCAAAAGCAGCAACCACATCCTTGTCTGGTGTGAGGTTTAAGCCTTGCCAAGGCCGGTCAGCATCAGTGCGTTTGAGCCATTCCCACCTGAGCCTCAAGGCTAGGCCTTGCTTGTGTAGATCAACGACGCCCAGCCCTCCTAGTTGCTTGCGGCGACAAACTCTCCTCCATGACACCAAACACTCGTCGTCGTGTATTTCGTCAGCCCGGGCCCAGAAAAAGGCCTGGCAACCCTTGTCTACCCGCTCCAGCACCCATTTGGGGGCTTCAGCAATGATCAGATGGTGTGTTGGCCTCACGCGCATAACCTGGTTCACCGGGATGAGTCTCCCAGGATGGGTGACCAGACCTCGTTGCCAGCCTGGCAAAATCTACAACGCCGCATCCACAATAGGCTGCCACTCCGACCTTTTGAGCTGCTTGATGCTAAAGTGCAGTCCTAGGTATTTGCAGGGAAACTTCTCAATCTTCCAAGGTAAAGCCTCCTTGACCAGAGTTACATCTTCCTCCTCCGAACGAATCAAAATGGCCACAAAATTGGCAAAGTTAACCTTGAGGCCCGAGGCATTTCCAAACAGCCTTAGCATGTCCCTCACAAGCCATAGATCATTTTGGTTTGGCTTGATGAACAACACCACATCATCAGCGTAAAGCGAAAGCCGTTGCATCAGGTTGCACCCATTCATGGTGCTCAGGACATTCTCCTCATGTGCTTTGCAGATCATCTTCGTCAGCACGTCCATAGCGATGACAAACAGAAGGGGAGAGATTGAATCCCCTTGCCGTAATCCTTGGGCATGCATGAACTTAGCACCGGCACATCTGTTGACCACCACTCTAGAGCTTGCCGAAGTGAGAAGAGTGGTGATCCAAGACAACCATCTTTCAGGGAAACCCTTGGCACGCAGGACCTCAAAAAGGAACGACCAAGAGATAGAATCAAATGCCCTAGAGATGTCAAGTTTCAAAAGCACACCTTTAGCTTTCCTCCTGTGTAACTTCCTCGCCATTTGCCTGACTAGAAGGAAATTGTCGTGAATATTTCTGCCCTTGATGAATGCGGATTGGTTGACATTCACCAGCTCTCCAATCCTGGGACTTAGCCTGTTGGCCAGAAGTTTGACAGCAAGTTTAGGAATGCTATGAACGAAACTGATAGGCCGGAAGTCCCTCACTTGGCAAGCTTCCGAGGACTTGGGGATTAGAGATATAAGTGCTTGTTTAGTCTCCCAAATCCCTGCCCATTTCCCAGGAATAGCTTGTGCAAAGCCGCGATCACATCTCTTTTGATAATGCTCCACGCCGATTGGAAGAAAAGGCCTATGAAGCCGTCCGGGCCCGGGGCTCTATCCAATGGCATGTCTTTGATGACCTTCCAGATCTCCTCCTCATGAAAGATCAATTCTTGCTTCGAGAGGTCTAGAGGGGTAATTCCCAGATAATCTAGGTCCAGGGTATGCTCTCTCACCGTGTCCCTATCCAGCAACTCCTTATATGCCTAGTAAAAAGCTTCCTCCTTTCCTTGTTGCTCAGTGATCACCTTCCCGTCAACGTGGATTGCCGGAATAAAGTTCTTTGCTCTTCGTCCATTGGCCACCAGGTGAAATAGCATGGTATTGGCATCTCCTTCTTGAAGCCAACGGATCCTAGATCTCTAACGAGCAATGGTTCGTTCGAGCGAGGCCAGCCCGAGCATCAGCTACTTCAGAGATCCTCTCGGTCATCTTTCCTCCACCGACAGCAGCTGTGATTCCATGGCACAGTCAAAAACGAAAGATGACCAACTTAGCCACATCGATTTGAAGCTTGATGTTTCCCACTTTCCTTTGTCCCCAAGCCGCGAGGAATCTTGCAGTGTTCTTGAGTAACGTGTCCAAGCGGTGAAAAGGGTCTGTAATCTCATCCGCACATTACCATGCCTCTTGCACCGCGAACTTCACCCAGAAAGTCTCAAACCTGAATCTTCTCCTTGGTTGTAGGTGCTCACCCAAAGCTAGGAATAGAGGGCAATGATCTGAAGTTGTTGTGGACAGAGCTTGCAGTAGGCAGTCCGGATGCTCGAGCTCCCAATCCACCGACACAAATGCACGGTCGATTTTTTTCAGCGTCGGGGCTTCCCGCTCATTGCACCAGGTGAAACAACGTCCATGAAGGAACAACTCCTTTAGCACATGATCGTCAACAAATCTCTTGAACCTGGCCATCATCCTGCGATCAATCCACGAGTTGCTTTTGTTAGCCGTGTTGAGGATTAGATTAAAGTCACCAATGGCAAGCCAAGGCAATGGGCATAGAGCACGTCTCTCCATGAGTTCCTCCAGAAAAATGATCTTATACACGTCTTCCTGAGGGCCATAGACCACCGATAGCCACCACGGTGATCCTTCCCTAGGCAAGACGTATCCCGTGATGAAGTTGGAATCAT